AAATTAAATCAGATATCCGAGGCAGAGTGGACGAACTCTATGTAGCAAATGAAGTTGCATCAATCTCCAACTTCTGTTTTTGCCTCGTCGAATGTAACTTCCTTGTTAATGACAACATTCCTTTATGAATGATTGTACAACTTGAAGCCTTTGACTCCATACTTGAAGCCAACAAAGATCACATTTTTTTGCTTAAGGTTCAAGTTTATCATTCTGCATGTGGTAGTAAACTGGAATGCCAAACACTCTCATGTGCTCATAATCTCTAGCAGGATGCTCTAACCAATAATTGTAGAAGACAAACAATTTACTAAGTGACAGACATATTCTATGACCTCAACCAAATAAATTCTATCAAACCCAGCATTGGATAACATACATCAAACTTTCTCCATCAAATTATGATTCATCATCTCTGCTACCCCATTCTGTTATGGCGTCTCACAAATAGTGAAATGGTATTCTATTCCAGTTCTCTGACACATTTACTAGAATGCATCTGAAGTGTATTAGCCCCGATTGTCTGATCTGATACACCATATTTTTTTATCAGTCCTAGTCTCAATCCAGTTCTTCCAAGTTATGAAAATATCTAACACTTAGCTTTTGCGCTTCATGATGTACACCCAAACATATGTGGAGTTATCATCAATAAAAAAAAAAGAAAAAATCTTCCCTTGCTGAATAATATTGTCTTTGTCACACCTCAAGCATATATGTGAACATATTCTAAAATACACACCATTTTAAGCTAACTAATATCGATCCCTACGATTAGGCACTTTACATCAACATTAGTTTTTGTGATGAATATTCAGTTGATAATTTTTGGTCTTTAAGCTAATTCTCAAATAATAGTTCCTTAAAGTGAGTTTGGGCCTAACACTAGCTGTTTTTATGTAATTTCTTTTCGTCCAAAAATTGGCTATAGGGAACAAAAATATTATTTAATTGAACACCAAGAAAATATGCGATGATTTTTATTTGTTCTATATAGGGTTGTAAACAAGCAGAGCTGAGCGAGCTCAAGCTTGGCTCGTGTTCAAAACTGTTTATGCACAACGTGTTTGTATTCGACTCGATGTATACAATTTTTTTTATGTTCGGCTTGAAATTATTTCTTTTAAATTAATTGAAAAAAAGATGCAGCCTCTGGTATATCCTGCATCAATTCTGTGCAATAGAAGACGAAAAACTAGACGACCACACAAATTATTTTGATTTAAACTTAGATAGAAATATATAAAATATTATTATATTAATAATATATATAATTTCGTTATTTTGAGCTAAAAAGAGCTGAATTGAAAAAAGGGTTGTTCGCGTTCTACTTATTTATAATTCAAGCTTAAAAAAATATTTTTGTTCAGCTCGTTTGCTTAACAAACAATTCGAACACAATGTAATTAACAAATCAAAACACGAGTTATCACAGATAAAGAATTTTTTTCGACAGCCCTACTTTTATATTTGACTAGATATGACATTTCAATATAAATATATATTTGCTAGGTGCCGCATACTACGAGTGAACCGTAGAGCATAAAAATAAGGAAATTAAATGCGAATTATCTATCAACTATATTAATTTATTTCTCTCTTTACTTTTATGCGTGTGATTTTTATACGTAGATTATGAAATATGTACATAGATTAAATAAGATTATTCAAGCAAAAAAATTTCTCTATCTTTGTAAAAAAAACAAATTTAAAATTATACAATATGATACCTTATGCTAAATATAAAAAAAATAAAAAATAAAAGAAATGTATTGATTTATTTATTAGTAACAAATGCTCCAAGATAAGATGCTGCGTTGGATGGACCGGCAGCACTCACATGTAAAATAATCACTACTGCATTAATTATATGATATATATTTGAGCTTTTCATATGCTTAAAGGTGGATAGCCATAAGGCAATAATAGATTGAAATAATTATAACAATCGAATCCCTAATTAATTTTTGTTGAGAAAATTAGGATTAAGAAAAACATTAATCGACACAAATTTAGAAGAACACAGAGATTTAACGAGGTTCGACAAAGATGCCTACGTCCTCGGGAGCAGAACGACGAGTTCCTTTCAATATTCAGAAAATGATTTACAGAATAGAGGGATATCTCTTGAGGTTACTAACAGACCTATTTATAACTCCATGAGTAAACCTTAGGCACAATATGTAATTACAACATTACCCCTGTACCATATCGCGGGGCTTTGCCCCCGCACCCCCACCCACGTAACTTCTCAATTTGGACAGATTCTTCCGCTCCGCTCCGCTCCGCTCCGCTCCGCTCCGCTTCGATCCAACTATGTCCCGATATGGTATATGAGCCATACCATAACAATTTTTGTAGCCATTATATATTTTGTTCCTTTAAATTTTTTATAACTATAAATATCAACATATGCTTAAAGGTGGACCACCATAGGACACCTAAGTATTTAGTGATAATCAATGAAGACTTTATTAGATACAACAAAATTACATTTAAAAATTCTATGTTAACATCTTAAAATTGAAGCTCATCAGTACTATTTTTTTAAATCTCTGAACAAAATGAAATATGATTATGTTGCGATTTTACTAATAACATATATTAATAATGATATTATCATGAATTTTGAAATATAATTAATGATTGTTAATTTGGATGTGGGAAGAATTTTTGGGCACAATTCATTATGTTCATCATACAAGAAACTCAAAACATTGTTATTTACAAGTCAAGCAGTCTTTTTCATCTATTTCTCAAAATCTCACTCAAATATCAGAGGTCATGATCAAACCTCAACCCATATTTTATGTTTCCAATAAATTCATAATTATTTGATTGTGGAACACGTAAATGCATCAGTTTGATAGTTCAAAAAATCAACTAGGAGCTTGATTTGTAAATAAACAATGTTTCTAGAGCTTTATATGTAGTTATCCCTAAACTTTACTTTATAAATTAGGGTCAACTTTTTTTTTTTATTTCATTTTTTTTGTTTATTCTCTTTTAAAACATATATTTTGATTTTGATTCTGATTCCGCTCATGTATACATACAACACAATTCTTATGTATTTACATATATGATTAATGTCTTGAAAACTGAACCGAACATGAAACTGAAAAAATGAAAGATTCAAGTTTCAACAGTTGAACTGGGTTTGAATTGGAGGTTTAAATGGATGACAAAATAAATATTTTAATTATTTTAATATAATTTAAATAATAAAACATTAATAAATTAGTATCAATTTATCGATTCAAGAAACAATATTTTAATTTAAGACAACAATTTTGAATATTTTTAATAAAATTTGAAAAAAAAATTTAAAAATGATATTTTCTCTATTTTTCATTTAAATATCTTATTTATGACCATTCAATCAAAAATAAAATGTTAAAATTGGATAACTTTTGAACTGACCGTTATTTAAAAATCAGATCGGCTCACCGGTTCAGCCCCGATTGTAATTGGTTCAATCTTGGTTCTATGCAAAAATGCTTCTAAGCTTGGACCAATCCGAATGAATGACCGATTCACAGTTGAATAATTGAATTAACATGTTCGACTTTGTTTTTAAAACCATGTATATAATACATAAATATTCATATTACAATGCATGTCACTCAAATTTTTAATATTTTATAAAAAATAATCATAATCATTTTCTTTTTTTTTTAAAAAACATATTTTTATGCATAATTTTATAGCATCATGATGTTTTAAATATAAGTATCAAAATTTTGGAGCTAGATATGTCAATATATAAGTATATGATACGCTTGTAAATTTGTCTCAATCTTCTTATAACAAATATTTGGAAAATAAATTTAATGATCCAATTTTGTCATAAGTTCTGGCCCCTACTCTTTGTCTGATTTGTCTCCCACCTGCTCTAAAACAGTTCTCACCATTATTGCTATTTCCATGTAGTGGTCCATAGTGCTTTAGGTGACAGCAATGACAGCAATGACATAACCCAATTTGTGAAAATATCTCTAGTTTTCTTTTATTTTTGTATGAAAAAGCGAATATATTTAAGTATTTTAACTTTAATTTTCTTTAATTTACTCTCTAAAACTTTGGCTGAAAAATAGAAATCATTTGGTAACTTAAAAGAAAATTATTTCAAATATTATATTGATATCATATAGTATACACTAATTATTTTTTTATTTTAACCTAACATTTTCTAATACATATTTAATGAGTTTTTCACGTGTAAAATGCTGTGATTACACGGCGAGATGGTGCACTGATCAGATCTTATCCTCAAAAAAATAAAATAAAATAAAGGTAGTGTCTCATAAAACTGCATCGACAAGCTATAATGTCTCAATAAAATCTTCATGTGCTGCTCATGCAAGAGATGTTTAGGGTAGCTTGTGTGTCTTGAAACGCGGCCAGCAGACCAACCCACGGTCTAATTTTAGTGTAAAAAACTAAAACGCAGCAGAGAACGTTTTTAAAAAAGTACAAACCAAACGATTAGACTGTATTTTCAAAAATGCCGCCGTACTTATAAACTGCCCCCAAACAGGCCCTTAATCGGACTATTTTTTTCTTAAAAAAAAAAATTGCCATGCATGCTTTTCATCTTGTCTTTAACTACTAGATTTTGCATGGTGGACTTTGAGTCAACCATTTTTTTGGGCATTAACATACATACCCCACAATTTTTACCTATTTATATATTTCATATTAGATTTTTTTTTTTTTTAACATTTATAACATTCAAATCTCTTGCAATTGCATAAAAGATTAAAAAATACTACTATTAATAATTTTTGAAAAATAAAATATATTTTTCAAGTATAGATAAAGTAGTGTAAATATAAAAATTTTAAAAATTGGGCTACAAATATAAATATATAGATATTGTGTAATCAGTATGCAAATCTTTCTTTTTAATTATTTTATTATTTTTTTGTTTTTGTTTTTTTTCGGGAGCAAGCTGCATTGAGAAATTACTAGCTTTCTAGAATCCAACCCGTCCAGATCGGCCTGAGAAGAAGCAGCCGCATGTCTATAAATTACAGTACAGATTTTGGGGTTCTTCAGAATTAGAGCAGTCGAAGGGGAGAAATTTCTTCGCGGAAAGAGAAAAAATTTATGGAAGAATCAGATGAGGTTCCTCAACTTATACATGGAGTTCTTGAAGTAAACATCTTTGAAGCAGTTCGTCTCCATCACTTACTCCATGGCACGATCATAAAGGTCCACTAATCTGAATAATCGAGATATGGGAAGCTTTTGATCCAAAATAGACAGTGCATGAATTTGGAAAATTTTGTTTTGTAGTTAGATTCTGCTTGTTTTTGATGTGAGAATCAGTTCGTTGATGAATTTGTTTGTTGAAATGCTCCAAAATTGTAGAATTTGTTTTTGTTATTCTTAATAATTTCAGGTTGAAGAAAGCATTGAGAAGGCGTTGCACTTGCATGCACTCCATCATCGAAAACTTTATGCAACTGTCGATATCGGCATTGCTAGGTTAGCAAGAACCAGGGAAGTGGAGTTCCACTCGACTAACCCTAAGTGGAACGAAACTTTTAAGCTCTACTGTGCCCACTCGTCGTCTTCTATCCACATCTCAATTAAGGATCAGCTATTGGTTGCCGGCAAGGTTGTCGGCCGCGCTAGGATCCCTATCCGCGGAGTACTCGAATCGAAGCTTGTTGAAGGCTGGTTTGATCTTTACGATGACGATGGCCATCGAGTAAAGGAAGCACAAATTCGCGTTTCTCTCAAATTCTTTGAAGCCGCTTCTGGTCCATTGTGGAATTCGGGTATCAGACTCCCTGAATACGCCGGAATCCCTAATTCTTATTTTCCAGAAAGAACTGGGTGTGACGTCACACTGTATCAGAACTCACACCTTTCAAGCAGTTTCCAGCCGAGGATTCACCTAGATGGGCACAAGTTTTATCGTCCAAGAAGATTGTGGGAAGATCTTTATATTTCGATATCAGAGGCGAAACATTTCGTTTATGTTGCGGGTTGGTCTGTTAATGTGAACATCACACTCATCCGTGATCCTGAAAGAATGATTCATGGAGCAGCTGGTGTTTCTATCGGAGAATTGTTGAAGAGAAAGGCAGATGATGGTGTGCTGGTTTTGGTGATGGTGTGGCAAGATCGGACGTCTGTTTCGTTGTTGGGAAATGCTGGGTTGATGAAAACTCACGATGAAGAAACTCTCAATTTCTTCGAGGGAAGTAAGGTTAAGTGTTTTCTCTGTCCACGAAATGCAGATCCTTCACTCACAGCAGTGCAGCATATTGAAGTCGATGCTGAGTTCACTCATCACCAAAAGACGGTATCGCTCGACATTGCTGAGCCCGGAAGCAGCCATTGCCGTCGTGTTGCGAGCTTTATTGGAGGGATCGATCTTTCTGATGGGAGATACGATGATGAGAAACACACGTTGTTTGGTAAATTGGATACCGCATATGTAAATGATTTCCTGCAACACAATTTCCCAGACGCAAGCCTTCGTCTTGGTGGTCCGAGGGAGCCATGGCATGATCTTCATTCTAAGCTTGAGGGACCTGCAGCATGGGATGTGCTCACAAACTTTGAGCAGAGGTGGAAGCTGCAATCTCCTAAGGAGTTATCAAATTGCTTGTTGAATATTCAGGATAAGCCTGATGTCTTTCCTCTACCTTCTAACTTAACAACTGCCGAGTCATGGAATGTGCAGGTTTTTCGATCCATTGATGATTCTTCTGTCTTAGGTTTTCCTTCGAATCTTGTTGAGGCGTCAAGAATGGGGCTGACAAATGGAAAAAACATTACAATTGATCAAAGCATACATTCTGGGTACATTGAGGCTATCAGAAGAGCTAAGAGATTCATCTACATTGAGAATCAGTACTTCATGGGTAGCTCAGCTTCATGGAAGCAGGATCAAGATAATGGGTGTTTGAATTTAGTCCCAATTGAGATTGCTCTGAAGATTGCAAGCAAGATAAAAATGGGAGAGAGGTTTGCAGCTTATATTGTTACACCAATGTGGCCAGAGGGAATCCCCGAAGGGAGCGTGGTACAGGCTATACTGCACTGGTATAGATTGACCATGGATTTGATGTATGGAATTGTAGCAGCAGCTATCAAGGAGGCAGGGTTGGCTGGGAAGACTCACCCAACTGACTATTTGAACTTCTTCTGTTTGGGGAATAGGGAGACGAAGCAGCCAGGGGAATATGAGCCTCCTGAGAGACCAGAGACTGAGACAGATTACTGGAAAGCTCAGGTTAACCGGCGGTTTCTCATTTATGTGCATGCCAAGCTCATGATTGGTGAGTAAATTTTGAACTTTTGAAGCTCCTTGCACATAAACTCATGCTCCTTAATGAAAATTTTCTAGCTCGGGATATGATAACACTTATCCTTGAATCACAAACAATTCTTTATCGAGAAAAGTTTCAACATAGTCCCCTGACTTTCTGCAATGAGTCATTTTAGTCCCATAGTAAATAGAAGTGTCAATTTAATCCCCATCCCCAAACGCTTTTAATATGGGCTGTAATGATTTTCTTTGAGGACTATTTCAGCCCCAATTTAAAGAATCTGAGAACTATTTTGACACTTTTATAGACTAAAATGTATAAATAGTCTAGGGACTATTTTCGCACTTCACCCATTCTTTATATTTTGCAAGACTATTTATTGTAATGCAGTGCAACATGAAGAAATGATTTACATAAAAAATGCTAAGAATTTGACCGAATCATCTTTATTGAAACGTGCAGTGGATGATGAGTATGTGATCATTGGCTCGGCAAACATAAACCAGCGATCTTTGGCTGGTGATCGAGACAGCGAGATTGCTCATGGTTCATACCAGCCTGCTCACCTTAATTCGGAGAAAAGGCTAGCTCGAGGGCTCGTCCATGGCTTCCGGATGTCACTATGGTATGAGCATTTCATAAGCCATAATAGTGGCTTGCATCATGTTTTTCTTGAACCTGAGAGCTTAGAATGCGTGAGAACCGTGAGGAGCATTACTGAGAATTTGTGGGAGAAATATGTTGGAGATGAGGTTGTGAACTTGCCGGGTCATCTGTTACCTTTTCCTGTGAGGGTTTCTGCAGATGGAGTGCTGTCGGAGCTCACACCTGATGGCTGCTTTCCTGACACTAAGGCATCGATCAAAGGTGATGGTTCTGTGATATCTTTGGCCATCCCTCCTATTCTGACTACTTAAGCTTGAGATTGTTTCTCATCAAATAAGGTACCCCTTTGCTTTTTTGCTTTTATTTAAGAATGGAAGATGCTATGTGATTCTGAGGATGTATAGAGTTTGTGTTAATGTTTCTATCAGAAATCACTGTTTAATTGCTTGAAAGAAGTATTAGAAATTTGTGTTTTTCTAGCAAATAAAGCATCTTGATGCAGTTGCTGAAATAAAAGTTGAAATTAAGGAATTAACTAATTTCAACTCTTGGCCTTTAAGTTGGAATTTTTTTATTAATTTTCTTTTGGAAGATTTTAATGGTTTAACATCATAAATATATGAATTTATCGATATATGATTTTTATCATTTTCAGTTGAATGTAAAACCCTAATCTATTATCTTATAAAAGGATGCCACCATTGTTTGTTGGTGTTGATTGAAAGAGAATGTTATGCTAAGCTCCAAAAAAGATAATTTATATGTTTACATTTATTAGAAAAAAAATGGCACCCTGCAAAACTTGGACTGGCCTAATATGGTGAAATTAGGAAAGCCAAGCTTAAGCCATCCGTAAATTATGCTTTGAGCTTGAACTTGATTAATTAATAAAGGTTAAGCTTGAGTTTAATTCATTTTGAGTTTGATTGTGAGCTGACTCATCTTATTATCTAACTGAGAAGGAATGTGAATAAGTGAAATTGTGGTAACGAGATCTTCAAAATAGTGAGAACTTGAAGGTGAATGAACCAAAAAAAAAAAAGAAAAAAAGAATAATAATAATAAAATCTTTCACATGGGACCTATTAAAAAAAAATAAAAAAAGAAATTTTGAAGTACTAAAAAGGATATTGACATCCAAATAATAGAAAGAATGAAAGAGGAGAATGGCATGTGAAAAATAAGGATATGAGAGGAAGTGCTAAATTTGTGACCCGAATTTTGTGGGCCCCACTTGTCTTATGAGCACACAGATTGAGATTTTAGAAGTAAAATCTAAGCACACAGATTGAAAACTTCTACCGTTTGATTTATTTATGATAACATTTAGATTACAGTTTGTGTGCTCTTGCTTTACTGACTCTCTTGTAATTATTTTATTTAAAAGGGTCTTGCTGAAAACCATAAATACTCTTGTTTGTTTTGTACAAGTGTAGTTACTTTTCCCTGTTTTGGTTTTACGTTGATCGAAGCTCTTCACTTGTAATTTCTTCTTTGATGTAGTGAATTTTCCTCATCTGTCCGTGATTTTTCCTAGCTTGGGTTTTCCACGTAAAATCTTTGCATTTTTTTTTTAATTATTTTGCATTTATTTAATATCAACTCTTACAAAAGTATCAACTCTTACAAAAGAGTGATATCAGAGACAAGTTTTGATCTTGATGGTGATAACAATGAAGTACGACACTTCCCTTTTAGATCGCAACACAAGTTTTTTGCATTGACAGGTTAAGTTGCAAGCTGTCTTAACACAGATGTATCTAGACAAAGCGTTATTTGGGTTAAAAAAAGCGTTCTTTTCATGAATGCTGGAGAAGAAGAAATGTAACTATCAAAGGTTCTTTCTCAAATTCATTTTCAACCGTCAAATCAAATTTTACATATATTTTGGAGGAGAAGATTGCTATGACTAAAAATAGAGTAATTGTGTTTGATAAAAAAGACCGACAAAAAAGTCGCACTTGACACATGAAGATGACATAAGATACATCTTCTACAGTGACTTAAGTGTATTTAAGGAAATAATCTATGTTTTGGCGGTAATGATAGTTAAATATGACGAACAAGATTTAAGATTAATTTTATTGCTCCTGCTGCCTTTAACATATATAATGTTTAGAGATACTATATTGTGAGCGAGAGATACTTATTCTAGACGAAGTATATGATTTTCTATTTTCGAAAGAGAAGATAAATCAACCTGTAGATGAATTGGTTGCTCAAAGAGAAAGCCTTGTCGCTCAAGATAAAACTCAAGAGAAAGGTTTTGTCTTTGAAACAAAGATTAGATATCAAAATTTAGAAATATGGATAATATTTGCAATTACTGTAAGAAAAAGTGGCACGTCAAAACTGAATGTTATAAATGGCAAAATAAAAATAAGAAAATAGCGTCTAATCAGAAAGATAATCAATCCGATCATTATGGTGAATCTAGTATTATTGAAGAAGCGATTGGTGATGGTGAACTCTTAGTTCTTTCTGAAAGTGAACCTTGTATTGATTGTAATCTTAATTCAACCTATATGTTTGACATGTGTTTTAATATGGTCTAGTTTTCATATGAAATAATGTCAAAAGATACCGTGTTAATGAGCAATAATGCTCCTTGTAAGTTAATTTGTGTTAAAATTATTAAAATCAAGATTTTTAATGGAGTTTTTAGAACACTTGGAGATATGAGTCATAGCCTAAGCTTGAAAATGAATTTAATTTCCATATAAACTCTTGATGCTATAGGGTATAAGTTTAAAGATAAACAAAGCCTTTTAACATACATCTGAACAGTGAAGTCATTTCGGCTAGATTAGGCCCCATGATTTTTTTTCTCGTTTAGGTTTTCAAAGTGAAAAAATAGTCTCCTCTATCATCCATTTTTTTATCTATTTGCATGCTAGATTTTCGCACATTGTCAAGACGTTAATATCATTCTACCGTCGAATTCTCTGACGAGCAACATAATTGAATTATTTTTATGAATATTCTTATATCATTGGAATTTTCAGAAATATAGCAAAACTTATTGTGCTATGTGATTGCCCTTTTTTTAATATTCGACAAATATAGCTCTCTTCTTGCATCCATAAGTTTTTTTTTTTTTTAAATGTTTTATTGTACATTGTATTTGCATTAAAAACAAGGGCCACATTTGAACATGGAGAGGGCTTAATTATTATTGTTTTTATAAATTTTGGAAATATTTATCTCTTGTTTGATGTTTTTCGTTTACGTTATCAACCATTTCAATAAATGATCCTATCATCCAAAATTTTAAAAAAATCATACGATATTACACCTTTGTTTTGCATATGATTATATATGTACAAGTCTTAACAATATGTAGAAAGGTTTACATACATACCACTTAATTCCTATGTATTTACATATATAACATTTAAATATTTAATTTTATGCAACCGAGTATTAAAATATTTATTTAAAGCACATGATAATTTAAGAAGGCGTGAAGTTATAAAAATAAGATACTAAAAATATTTTAGCACAAACATAAAAAAGAGATAATAGTAGCGAATAGCGTTATAAATTAGATGGAGATAATTGTGATTTCATTTTTTTTAAAGGGGCGTTTACATATATGCCACCCAATTTCTTATGTATTTACATTTCTAACACCTGAAATTTGCTTTTTGATATTTATACCACCTAAATCATTCATATCACGTAAAAAATATCACCATTTTAAAATTTATATAGTGAAAAACACCATTTATAAGGTGATATGGAGGTAATAATTGAGGTTTGGGTGTTAGATTTTTATATATTAAATTCATCTTAAAAAAATTCTACTATTTTGAAAGCTATCATAATGAAAATATAGTCAAAACATATTAATTCGAAATTTCTTCATAACATCATTAATGAGTATATTTACATGGGCCAGGACCAACTAAACATATTAGATGGGCCTATTTTTGGACCAAAATGGATGGGCATAGGTCAATAAGAATGATATCTAAAAAGTATGTCCCCGTCTCACGTGCCATTTTAAATGCAATAAAGAATCGAGAGAACCATCCATGGATGTGAATTGTTTGTTAATCTCAATATATTGTCATCTCTGGTCAAGTTGAAGGGAATGAGCGGAATGCCTATTGCCATTACAATTAGAGTATGAATTAGAATTTATATAAAGGATTTAGAAATAAGCATTGAGAATTAAAATTAACTTGATTCTTTTTTACAATCCATTTTATGTTCAACAAATTGATAGGAGGCAATCATGTTGTGGACCGACATGTCTGAATGGATAAAAGAAGTGAATTGAAATTGAATGAGATATGCACCTTTTTAGAATGTTGAATTGATCCCTCCAAGAAGAAATTCGAGCAGCGTGCTCCAAAGATATCGCTCCTCCACTAGTTGAAAAGATTGCCACGACACCACTTTGGTACGTCGAAAATGTTTCTTATCGCGTAGCTAAGTTCAGGTCATGCTTCCTAGCCTCTGAACTTGCCTAGTACATGATTCTCGTTTGGAGAGAATCACACAATTGGTAGGCTTGGTGTGCAAGCCGTCCCTACGGAGCACATATGAGTCTAGAGCTGAGTGTGCAAGGACACAAGGTCAGTTGCAAACTGCAAGCATATGAAATGCAAACATATATTACGCTATACAAGCAAACATGCAAGAATCCAAAGTGTAAGTGCGAACACCAGTGCCGTGAAGCACGATGACATGAGAATGTCAAGAAATGAGCACGAAGTGCTATGCCCAAAGGGGCACAAAAGCCCACTATAGGCATGTGAGGGCACAAGCTCAAAGGAGCACAACAAGGTGCAGATGTGAATGCGCTGATGCAAGAAGTACAAAAACAAGCATGAAATAATGCAACATACCAGATGAACGTAGTTGATTGGTTGATTGGGCCGGTGGCGGCCGATCGATCAAATCAACAAGAGGTGGTCGATCAAATCGGTGTGGACGACCAATTGATGAAGGTTGGTCAATCGATACCATTGGGCCGGTGGCTGCCAATCAATAAAGTGGATCAGGGATAGTCTATCGAGCAGAGGTCGGCGACCGTTCAACGTAGGATGGTCGATTGATACGATCATGCCAATGACGACCGATCGATCAAGTGGACTGGGGATGATTGATCAGACAGGTGTGGACAGACGATCAACGAAGTATGGTCAATTGATACCATCAGGTTGGTCGTGTCAAGTCGATTAAGTGGACTGGGAATGGTCGATTGTTACTCCTTGTAATGAAAGAAAAATTATGTTGTACTGTCACCGTACGCAGAGATGCGTGCGGTGAACCAATAAAAACACTTAATTTACCAAAAGTGTATGACAGTGGGCCCCAATTTTAATTTTTTTTCAAAAAAAAAAATTTCTGATTGGACAGCGCACACAAGATGCGTGCGTTGTCCGCACATAATAAGAGCTCGTAATGGAGGGCCTACCTCTAGTCGTTCGGTAAAAGGGACAAAGCTTCTTTGCAGAAGAAAACCTTCACAAAAGTGAAGGCTTTCTCTTATGGCCATAGCCTTCATTGTCTAGGGGACGA